AGGAAGGAAGGAAGGAAGGAAGGAAGGAAGGAAGGAAGGAAGGAAGGAAGATTTCTGATGCTCCCTGCCAGCTTCCGACAAGGAAAATCAATGGGGAAGCTGGCAGGAAATCAGAAATCACTCCCTCTCCCGCTGGTTTTTTGCCCAGCCGTGGTAATTCTTTCTCTGTTTAGGTAAGGAAATATTTCTGAAAGGAGACCCGACCAGTCACGGGTTGTCTAGCGTATATTTAATCTTAAGTGCCACCTCAGTTCTGGAGGGTTTATTCCCAAACATGCATGCAGGGCACGTGTAAGATGGCAGGCTGAGAAAAATGCTGAAAAATAGAACTCAGGAAACCAGACTCTGATGTCTGCATCCCACTGGTTTTCCAATATCATTCATCGAAGCAGACTAGCTTTCCTTTCCAAAGCAAGAAAAATTGAGCTGGTCTCAATCGAAGCTTCTCTCTCCCAGACCGCCCTCTGCAGCTCCAGGGGGCATTCACCTTCACAAAGGGGAGCAGCAAGCCGGGTGAAGGGGCGCGCCAGCTTTCAACCCTGGGCTGCCAAGAGTTGTTTGCATTATTCACAGTGATCATCCGTGGAGCGTGTGCTCTTTCTCTGCCATGGAATTGATTCCTGGGTCAGCCTGCCAAATGTGGGGCAAAAGATGCATGGAGGAGCTGAAATTAGGCCCAGCCCCAGTTAGTTCCAGCTGGATGTAGGGCCCCCAGGCCCCCCTTAGGCCTTGAAGAAGTCTTTACGCAGGGCAGAGGTTTTAGACCGCTGGCCCAAGAGGGAAACACAACCAAAATTGCAGAGGTATGACCGCCCAGCCGAATGGGGGGAGAGGTTGGGCTGGGAAAGGATGAAATAAGCAGATGACGACAGATGGGGTGGGTCATTGCAGGAGTGAAGGCAATTGTGATATTCTGGGAAGGACTCATTGGAGCCTCTTTTCTCCCCAGCTTTTTGCAAACCGCTCAGGGGTGGCACGGCTGCTCGGCTCGGAAGAGCAGCATCTGTGGCAAGGGGTAACCGAAGAGCTCATGTCAGATGAGGAAGACAGTGTCAGCGAGCCCGGCGTGTGGGTGGCGCGACCCCCCCGGTTCCGAGCTACGCCTCTCTCTCAGCTCTGCTACCGGCTGGATGCCAACTCGAAACATGGCACGAAAGCCAACCGCGTGTATGGGCCACCCTCCGACCGCCTGCCCTCGGCAGAAGCCCAGCTTCTGCCCCCGCATCTCTACAACCCCCACTTCCAAGGGGAAGACCCCAGAGCTGGCACCCCTTCCCACCTGCCCAGCCACAAAGGCTTCTGCCCTGACCTCAGCTCTTTCGTGGAGATCAAAGTGGAAAAGGATGAGTGACCGAGGACCCCCTTGACTCGTGGCAAGAGGACCAGCAGAAGGAGAGGAGCTCATGTGAAAGGCGTTCTTTGCTATCTATTTGGGGCGAGGAGGAAAGCCAACCGCGGGCCAGAATTGAAACAGTTTTTCTTAGGAGCCTGCTTCTCTTTATTCCCTGGTAGGGCAGTGAAGAAGAGGTGGATGAATCTAAAAAAGAGAACCTTCAGTGTTAGAATGGCAGTTCTAGAGCAGAGAAGGAGGACTGTGTAACCTTTTAGGGGGAAGGATTGCAAAGAGATTTCTCTCCCTTCAGACTTAAATTTAAGTCCAATGGGAAGCAAAGTAGAGAGTCTCCAAAAAGCCACGTTTGCATCACGAACGGGGTTGGGTGAGAAATTTGGGTGGATGAACTCTTCCCGCCTTGGAGCATTCTTGCGTTTCAGGCACCAAGGCTGCTGGGGAGTCTGTGAGCATTGGAGGGCCATCGTCAGTGATAGTTGTGCTTTTAAAAGAGCAACCGCAATTCGGGGGGGGGGGGATGTACTTTTTCAAACTGAAGCATCCTGCAGGTATAAACGATATAGATGGACTCTTCTCAGGATGTGAAGTAAAGGCTGGGTCTTGATGGTGGGGTAAAGTCTGCAGGGTGGGGTCAGAAAGAGCCAAGAAGGTGGGGTCAAAAAAACTGTGAAACCCACCTTGACTCTTTTGACCACATCCTGCAGATAGCCCTGGTGGGATATGTGTTGAACAAAAGCCTGCTATTGCTGTCAACAGGGTTCCTGCCTGTCAAAAGATGCTTAGGTTATTCATGAAGATTTTTCATTGAAATCAAAATTTTGGACTTTGGGACTCTTCCTATGTTGGTGTGATACCTTAAGCTCCAGCGTCTAGTTCAGTGTTTTTCGACCTTGGCAACTTTAAGATGGGTGGACTTCAACTCCCAGAATTCCCCAGCCAGCCTTGCTGGCTGGGGATTTCTGGGAGTTGAAGTCCACCCATCTTAAAGTTGCCAAGGTCGAAAAACAGCCTGCTATTGCTGTCAACAGGGTTCCTGCCTGTCAAAAGATGGTTTTTCGACCTTGGCAACTTTAAGATGGGTGGACTTCAACTCCCAGAATTCCCCAGCCAGCCTTGCTGGCTGGGGATTTCTGGGAGTTGAAGTCCACCCATCTTAAAGTTGCCAAGGTCGAAAAACACAACTAGTTAATGAGCACGTGTGTATTACCATCTTCCTCCATTGTATGTAGCTGTGTGAATTGCATTCCAAACCTAACTTGGCATCCCCTTGGGGTTTGTGGAAACCAACACTGGTGACTCCCAACCATCTTTGGCTTATGTTTTGCATTCCTTAAATCCCAAATATTAACTCCTACAGGTTTGGCTACTGATGGATGATTGGCTACAAAGAGTTGGACGCTAGCAGGGAGGGAAAAGGTGGCTGCACACCATCTCATTAGCAAAACCCTTCGGCTGAAATATCTTTGAGGCTGATCTTGGTTTTATTTGCAGGAAGATTAAAGGGTTGTTTGTAAGAGAAGAGGATGAGCTAAAACATCTCTGGGTGTCTTGCTGTCATTATTGGCCTAGTGTATGCCGTGCATACAATGAGCCGTGTCTGTCCTCTGGTGGCTCTTCTCAGTAGTACAAGTGGAAAAATGGCCCTCATGTAGGAAAACACTTTTAGCTTGGTTGTTTTCTTGCAAACGTTTCGTTACCCAGCTAGGTAACATCTTCAGTGCTGGAAGGGAGTGGGGTTTGCTCTCTGTTTATATACGGTGGCTTGCCCTGCCAGTGTTGGGGGGTGGTTTATTTTATTTTTTCTTCTCCTGGTAGTTTCTTGGTTAGGAAGGAGAAGAAAATAAAATAAAGCACTCCCCAACACTGGCAGGGCAAGCCACCGTATATAAACAGAGAGCAAACCCCACTCCCTTCCAGCACTGAAGATGTTACCTAGCCGGGTAACGAAACGTTTGCAAGAAAACAACCAAGCTCAGAGAACCGCAAGGACTCCACATTTCAACCCTGAGCTACACATATTCGCTTCTGTAGGAAAATACTTGTTCCCTGTGGTTTTCCAATCTTGAAAAAATCAGAGAAGTGTCCCCTCTTTATCTTGCATCCTGCAGCCCGTTGGTTTCCATGTTGCTCTGTAACTGTGTTTCTGTGCCACAGATAAGCTGTCTATTTCCCTTGTTTGTTCTTTTATATTTCCTTTTTCTGGTGAGGATTAGAAACTCTTGGACCGTTGGAGAAGGTATGGACATCCTGGGTGGGAGAACCTGTTTAATGTGCTGAAGGTGCTTCAAATCCTCCTCCTCAGGTTAAAAAAAAAAAAGGATCAGATCCAAGCATGAGGAAGAATCCCATTTGTCAGGCTACTTCCAAATTCCAAACTCCTGAATTGTTATTTTTTAAATTTGTTCTTTGCAAATTCATTCGCCAGGAAAGCATAAATGGAAAACCGGGGTTGGGGGAAAGGGAAGAGCAGTGATGTAGGTCGAGTGGAAATGGCTGTCCTTGCAGAATTAAGATTTCAGGGTATTGAGACAGCTGCATTTCAGCAACTGCAGTTTGGGACAGATGAGGGAACCTGGTTGGGGGAAACAGGATGAGATTCAGAGACACCTGCCTGAAAACAGAGTTTTAGCTCAACTGCATCTGACTGATCTTGAAAAGGAAAGAATGAGCTCTCTCTGTTGATCCATATTTTGCTTAAAGTGCAATTCTGCATGCCTGTGTAAGGTTGCAGCCTTAGACATTCAGACTTTGAAAATTGTTCCTGCTGGATAAAGTCTTGGTTGGTTGGTTTGCTTTATCATCCCGGAGAATAACGCCTCTATTGTCGAGTCTTCCCTAAAATTATTGAATGATCCGTTTGCTGCAAAAGGAATTTGTGGTTTTGAAACCCATATTTTAATTTTGGGAGCCAAAAGTGCAGATGTATAGTTCACCAGATCATATCCTAAGTAGTAAACGTGGGTGCGGATGTATATAGGTATAGTTGGAATGTGTGGATAACTGAAAGGCTGCGTTCACACGTAACATTACCCCATAACATTTGTTTAATTTTGGCTTTGACTATCATGTGAAGATGCTTGAAAACCATGGTTGAGTGCACAAAACCAGTGGTTATTTAGCCAATAAAAATAGTCCTTGTTTAGCAACCACATTCGGGACTGGCAACTTGGTCATTAAGTGAAACAGTCGCTAAGTGAAACCATGACTGTGCTTATGATCTTCCTTCGGTTTTCCTTTTACAGACCTGCGAAGGTCATAAATGCAAGGATTGGTTGCAAAGTTACTGTTTCATAGATGTTGTAGCTGTGAATGGTCACTAAACGAGGCAGTTGCTAAATGAGGACTACTTGTTAAACCAATTAAACTAGGATTATTGTTTAGGTGTGGGACCAGCACTGGGGAGACCAAGGTTCTAGTTCACTCTCAGCCATGGAAGCTCCCCGAGTCACCCTTGCCCAACCTACCTCACAAGGTTGTTGTAGAGAGAAAATAGGGAGTGCTGCAGACTCCACCTCGAGCTCCTGTACCAAGCAGAGAATGTGAAATTACTAAATAATTAAATGCATAACAGGCTAAGACCAGAGGAACTGGGCAGCAGTGCATAAGAGGGGGATTGGCCTGACTAGATGCCCGCTGGGGTACCCTCCAACTTTGACCCAGAAGTTGGAGCTCCTTGCTGCTTTGCAGGAGAGCGAGGACTGATCGAACGAGGATGCAGCCGGGGTCCCCTCCACTCCTACCATGCTTCCTAAATTTAATGTCCAGTGCATTGACTCTCCCTACCAAAACCCATGCTGGCTGGGGATGATGCAAGTTTGCACCTAGACGACTAAGGACGGGACTGCCAGACCTGGGCGGTGAAAACCTGGACGACCGGTAAAAGGCAGCAAAGATTTTTCGTCCGGATTTTTGCAAGCCGAATCTGATAGAATTAACCGGGGGGGCGCCTGGTTGGAGAAGGCGAGCTAGCCAAATGCCGGGGCTGGGGAAGAGTCCGACAGCGCCCCCTGTGGATTTCAAAGGAAATTTCCCAGGCACTGGCCAATCCGGAGGCTAAAAGCGATTGGAGCCCTTCCCCTCCCCTCCGGCTCCGACCCGCTCTTATCAAGGCCACGCCTCCCCTTGCGGTTCTCGTTCGCCCATTGGCGGCTTCCCTCTGAGCTCCCTCCCCTCGTGGTCTCGAGCTCGACCAATTTCCTCCTGCGAGCCTCCCGGGGGTTTCCCGGCGCGCAGAGCGAACGTTGGAGTTGGTCCTTGGCCGGGGGAGGGGCGCTTAATCGAACGCGCGGGGGGGAAAGGGCGGGTAAAGGAACCACGCCTTCTCGTGACGTCACAGGTTGGCTGCGAGGGCTTTGCTAGGGGAGCGGGGGCTGCCCGGGGATGAATGGGGCGATGCCTTTGCGGGTAGAATCCCCACCTCTTTCGCTCTCCCCCCGCTCCTCCTCTGCTTTGCAGTTCGGGGGCAGAAACGGAACCGGTGCAGCCTCAAGGAGAACTGCGCCGGTTGCATTTCGGCCTGCCACTCAGCTTGGCAGGGCACAGCGAGGAAAAGCGAGGGGCGGGTGTTGGAAAGGCTCCCTACAGTGGCCCACAGTGCAAGGGGAAGTGATGCTCGGGTGGGGGGGGTTGCATTCTGGGAGGCGGGATGCAGAGCCTGCAGAAGTGGGGGGGCTCTGGGGTCGCTTCCCTGGTGGCGGGGAGAGAGTCAGGATCCCTCTGGGACTGGCAGGGAAGATTGACAAGAGCCATGCCCGGGAGGCTGCATTCACACAACGCAGGGCGTTCGGCGTGAGTCCAAAGGGCAGCAGGTCGTGTGAACCCGCTCTGAAGCGAACCTTAGCTTAGGAAAGCCCCCCCTTAAAATTGAATAATAAATAAATAAATAAAACGAGCTCCCTGGCGCAGCTCTGTCAGATGGGAGCGTGGCTTCCATGCCATGTGAGAGAGGAGGGGATTGAGACTCGGTCAACTTTTGGGGAGCATCCGCCCTCAATTCTCTCCAAGAAACTTGGCACCACCCCTATAAACGGGGCACGGGATTCTGCCACCTTCCGGCGCCCCAACTGGGCACGAATTCAGCTCCTAACCACCCCTTTTCCTCCGCTGGCGAAAACCTCAGCCCCTTCTTGGCTGTCCTGAGTAGGCACGAGGTTGCCCGGTCCCTCTGGAGGGCACCAGGTTGAAAAAAACAGATGTCCACATTACCTACTCCTACCAACGTCCTGCCCCAAAAAGGGTCACCTGGATTTAGTTTCTAGCCACTTTTCCCCCAATCAAACCCCTCCCTCCATCCTAACGTGGCTTCTGCCAATTTCGTTTGCTTTTTTCTGGGCAGTTTCCCCGAGAAACGGGCAGAATGGCAGCTTCAGGAGCTGTCGATGGGAAATTCCTGCAACAAGGTAATTGCCCTGGGCTTGTGGGAGGAAAAGTTACCGCGTCTAGAACGGGGGGAAATCAGCTTTCCCCCCGCCCCTTTCTGTTTCCACAGGTTGGAGGAGCCAGCTGCCCCCTTGCTCACTGACAGATGGTGATCTGTCTGCTTATCCTGGCTTGGCTAACCTTCTTATGGTTCTGACAAAGCATATGGATTCTTCGGGGATGAGCATCGCTTTGGCCCAGCCGTTGGAAGAGGTGGGGTGAGATATTGTTGTGGGGGCAAGAAAATGGTTTTTAGGATTTCATATTCCTGAAAACCCAATCTTTCCTTGGTTGGGGTGGGGGTGGGGGGGCTGTTGCAAATGAGATGGAGGGAAGTGAGGATCTAGACCAGTGTTTTTCAACCTTGGCAACTTTAAGATGGGTGGACTTCAACTCCCAGAATTCCCCAGCCAGCATTCTGGGGAGTTGAATTCTGGGAGTTGAAGTCCACCCATCTTAAAGTTGCCAAGGTTGAAAAACACTGGTTTAGACCTTAGGGAAGACCCTGGTTGGGTCTTGTATTGCCTTGCAGATTCTCTCAAGCCAGAATGGGCAAATGACATCATATTCACTGCTCAGCGTGTGAGAAATCTAGTGGATCTTCTCTGCAGGGCACAGCAATAAAATGACAACTAAAAGAAAAATATTTATAAACGTAAGCTAAGTAATTCAGCTTACCTTGAGGCAGACATTTTTTACTTATTATATTCACTGACGTACAGTAGCTGCCTGTCTCGCAGATTGTGACTCTGGGTGGGATAAGAAACCCCTGCGACCACAAGGAAACAACAGAAATACTCTACATTTGTACCCAGTTCAGTTAAAGACCCGGTGTGTTGTGTGAATCCGGTAGCTCAGTTCTTCCTGGGTTAAATGAGAAAAACGTGCAGGGTCCCGCTGTATCCTGCACATCTGCAAAGAGGGTTAACTGGAGGTTAATTCTCCCTCTGGTGAGAACTCTTGGAAGTCTTGGAAAAATGGGTCTCCATCAGCTGTTGGGTGTCTGCTTGCAAAAGGGTGATATAAAGCTTTAGCCTTCTGATGGTGACTCCTCACTTGACAAGGTTATCTCGGCTGGAGCGCTGGGAGTCCCCGGCCTGCAATTCGTGCCAACAGCTGTTTAATTTATGGAGCAAGGGCCCGTGCCGTTATTAAGCCCTTTTCTACTTTCTTCTCTCGTAGGCAACGAAAGAATTACAAATGCACCGGGCAAACTGGTTAAAGTGGGAAGCGTTACAGCGACTTTTGCAGGAAGCTTTGTTGGAATTGGGAGCTGATCCGGCCCCCCAGGACAAAAAAGTAATGTTTGAAAAGAAACATTTGCATCACCCGTTCAACGAGGCACGTTGGGCAGTTGGCGGCCGAGGGTTACATTGACTTGCCAAGTTATGTAAACCAACCCGCCACATTAAGCTCGGATTTGGTGCTTGGCTCAGCAGAGCAGAAAGGTGGAATGTAAATTAATTCGTTTGGGCGGAGGGTTTGATGTGAACTCAGTAATTGCATTGTGTTAAACTGGGTTTTCATAAGGTTCATAAGAGGTTTTCATAAGGGATATAAAAATGGTGTGCACGGAGAAAGCCAGGATCGGAGCATTTTTGATGAGACTCGGAGCCAAGAAGTGAGTCGCAGTTACGCAGTAGAGAAGCTTGTGAGTTGTGATCGCAAAGATCGTTGAATGGCATTGAGCGAGACGTTTCCTTGTAGCCGCTTGGTTGTTGGGCAGGACCTCACGAGCATCTCTTGAATTCTCAGAAAAAAGATAGGATAACAATGCAATAAATACGTCAGTGGCCTCTTGCTTGGAGCTAGGACGGTAAAACACGCTAAAGCGTTAACTGTAATTAAGCCAGCCACTGTGACTGGTCACACGCATTGCCAAGCAAAACCCAGACCCCATTGTGGCTTAACGTAGTGGCCAACTTTACATAAGGCATGATGTGATTTGTTTGGCTTTGCTCTTGGGGCTTGCCAGCCAGATGTTTTATGGCTTAGTCAGTGTTTCTCAACCTTGGCAACTTGAAGATGGGTGGACTTCAACTCCCAGAATTCCCCAG